AGGGCTGATGGCCAGTGTTGTTTGCTGGCTGTGACTCCTACCTGGCTTCCCTATCAGGGTATTGCTACTCAAGGTGGGAGCGCTGCTACCCTGCCTTTGGCTTTGTCAGGGGGCTGGGTGTTCCCAGGGGCTGGGGCAGGACCCCTGCCTTGCCCCCAGTGGTGGCGGAGGCTGAGTCTTATCCTACCCACTGGTCTCACTTTGGTGGACCTGCAGCAGTCCTGCTCCTTTTCACACAAATCAACCCACTTTGTTTTCCCTCTAGGGTTTTCAGATGTTTCAACTTTCCCAATCGCTTTCAGTATTTTTTTTTCCTCATCTTTCCTTGGGTGTTACGGGTTTGTAGGTGGGAGAGGAGGGTCTTGTGGAAATCTCCCTCTTGCTGCTGCTTCCATTGTTTTCACCTTCCTCCTGTTTCTCCTGGGTCATCAATCCTGCTCCTATCATCTGAGTTTTTGGCTGGAGTTTGCTGTAGTTTCTTCCCGATTAACTGTATCCACGAGAGAGCTTAATCTCAGCAACTCTTCGTAGCCATGTTGGTGATGTCACTCTTCAGTTTTTTTTCTTTTATTTAAAGATTGATCTATTTATGCATACAGAACTGGGGTATAGGCCAGAAGTATGGAGAGGTGAGAGAATTCACTGGAAACAGAGTAGGGGGCAGAACAGGCAGGTTGAATCAGGCTGCCGAGGGGAATAGTGGGTGGGTCAGGAGAGGTCTGTCATGCCATGTGGGTCACCTCCCTGGCTGAGGATCGAACCCCTGCTGCAGGGGCTGCGATAGCTTCACAGTGCTGTGATTTTTACCTTTGTGCACTATGTAGGCCTCACAATACCTGTTTGCATGTTGAAATTCCTAGAGTAGTCTTGTAATTACTTTGTTTTCTCCAGCTCTTTTTATGTTAAACTTTCTGGATGATTTCCTTAGGTGTTTTTGTTGTTGTAAACAATTTTATTACTATCATTTATATGCTATACTGTCCATCTTTTGAAAGTATACATTCCAATGATTTAATACATTCACAACTTGTACACTTTCTGTCTAATTTTGAACATTTTCTTTGCAGCTCTCCATCCTCCTAACCCCCCTTGCCCATTAGCAGTCACTTCCATTTCCTCCACCCCCAACCTTAGTCAACCAGAAATTTATTTTCTGTTTCTATAAGCATATTTAACTATTCTGGGCATTTCATATAAATGAAATTGTATAATATATAGTCTTTCATGATTATTTTCTTTCATTTAGCATAATATTTTCACCGTTCATATTGTAGCATGTATCTGAACTTGATTCCTTTTTATTCTGAATAATACTGCCTTCTCTGTCCATATCACATTCTAGTCCAGTCTTCATGGTGGGTATTGGTGGTTATTATGAATAATGCTGCTGTGTATATTTGTGTACAAGTTTCATGTGGACATATTTTTATTTTTCTAATATATACCTAAGCCTGCAATTGCCAGGTTTAGTTATTATTATTATTTTTAAAGATTTATTTGTACATACAGAACTGGGGTACAGGCCAGAGGCTCAGGGGTGGTGAGAGACTTCACCAGAGACAGAGTGGGGAGCAGAACAGGCAGATCGATGAAGTGCATTGCTGAGGGGAGCAGTGGCCTGTCAGGAGAGGTCTGCCATGCCATATGGTCACCTCCGGGGCAGGCGGGGATCCAACTCATGTGGAAGTGGCTTCAACTTCTCAGTGCAGCACTTTAACCCGCTGTGCCACCAGGGAGGGCCAGGTTTAGTTATCTTATACTCCTCTGAGTTCTTATTTTCTACTCCTGGGCTTATAATTTCTAAACTTTTTTTCTCTGAATGTTTCCCTAGCTCCTTTTTAAAATAAAATAGTATTTTGGCTTTTGTGAATATGGTTTATTTTGTTTCAATGGAGATACTAATAGTTTTTTTTTTTACTAAGTTTTTTCTCCCTAGAATAGACCTTATTTATTCAAATAGATTTTGGTTTTATTTTTCTTGATGTTAACAAGTGAGAGGCTCTTCTTATTGTCTGATAATCCTTGGTTGTCTGCTTTACGAGTGAAATACCAGAAACTTGATTAGAAGTTCTGGGCTGGTGGCTAGTTCTTGTGTTTCTGGGATTCACTGTAGTTTTATCTAGTTGGCCATTTTGTAAAGGCTCTCCTAATGTCCGTATCTTCATGTGTCTTGGTTTGGTCAATTTCCCCAGAAAATAATCATTTCCTATCTGCTGGCTGTCATTGTTCTAGAAAGTCTGTTGATGGCTGGGGGTGTTGAGAGGCAGATACATATTCCATTCATATGTAAATTTCATTTAATCTCCTTTTTTCATGGTACTTTTGGTCTGTGTCTCTTGTTTGCCAGTTCAAAAACTCTTATTTTACTCTTTTCAGGGCAGAGAAGGTGTGGGAGAGCTGGAAATTGAGCTGCTCAATAAGTTTCTAACCAGCCTTTCTATTTATAGCCCCACCCTCACCATGACTTCCAAATACCTTACTCTGCTGCCAAATCCTGAATCTTTTTTGGGAGATGGTGGTTCTGTGGTATAATTTGGATTGCTTCTTGGCTTTCTCCACAGCTTTTTTTAGTTTGCTAAATAGATGACCACTCTTTAAAAGATTGATTGCAGTTATTTTTTTTTTTTTTTCTTGAAAATGTATGCTTAAGAAATTGTTTTGGGCCTCCCTGGTGTTGCAGGAGTTAAAGACAGTACTAGCTAGTATTATCAAGAGGTTTTGTCAGCCACTCAGCACGTTTGATCCCCTGGCTGTCCAGGGAGGTGACCCACATAGCTCAGCAGACCTCTCCTGTCTTACTTGCTGTTCCCCTCAGCAGTGTATTTCAGTAGATCAGCCTGTTCTCCCCACTATATCTCTGTTGAGTCCTCTTACCCCCTGGACTCTGGCCTACACCCCAGCTCTTGTATGCTTAAATAAATAAATCTTTAAAAAACAAAACAAAGAAAAATTATTATTGTTTAGCAGGGCTTTGGAAAAGAGTTAATAGGTGTGCGCATTAAACCTGCAATGTTTTCTGGGAAGTTCTGTATTCTGTTTATTATGTGTCCGACAATCTATCTACATGTCATTGTTAGTCACTTACCTTTCCTTGTCTATTATTTCTTCTGTAACTGGAGTCAGTCAACTGAATTTTGATGTTCTAATGATGTAACATAAGGAGATAATTAAGAGGAATTAAATAAAGATAATTGTATGAATATTCTTTCATTATATAGTTGTTAATTGCCGTTTCAGCAGAATGTGAGGACTGGGGAGAGTAGTAGGCATAATACCTCATTCTTGATATATGTATTAATTTTGGAGATGGCAAATCATAGATCATTAAATGAATGCCTCTTAAATCCCTTTTTATGTGAAACTGGTTGGATACTATGGGTTTATGTCTACACTGAGTAGACATAGAGGTTGACTTATACTGAGTGTAGTACTGATACACTCCATCAGTTTTTTAAAATTTACTTTATGTATGCATCCAAGAGCTGGGGTGTAGGTCAGAGGTGCTGGGGGCTGAGGGGATTCACCAGAGACAGAGTGGGGAGTGGAACAGGCAGATTTGAAAAACTGCTGAGGAGAGCAGCATACAAGACAGGAGAGGTCTGCTGCACCATGTGGGTTAGTTCCCTGGACAGGGGTTGAACTCATGCTGTAGTGGCTGGTGATAGCTTGATAGCACTGAGACTTTAACCCCAGCACCACCAGGCAGGCCCCCACTATAGTTTTTTTTTGGAGTCAAAGTTCTCTTTTGTGTTTGAATTCTTTCTCTAAGAATGTTTTTTAGTCATCCACGGTTGCATGTATTTTTATTTTTTTTTTATTTTATTTTTTTTTTTTAAAAGGAGTCAAATTTCCAAAGACATCTGTGGAGCCAATGTTATAGTGCGTTGTGCCTATATTTTCTTATTTGCTGATACAAAAACTGAATTTAATTAG